GAACACAAACCAATGAGTCCCCATGTGTCCTTCTGTTCTCCCCACATGTATGTGCTTCTTGCTTTCTCTTGATCAACACGGGGGTTCTGGGGCCTTCCCTACCAGAGCCAGGGATGCAGCCACTCCTACAGCCAGGGTGCCCCAAGGAGGAGGGAACCGGCCAAGGCCCTCTAAGCACCCAGGGGCTTGGTGGAACCAGGCCCCGTTCTCCTCTATACCCATTTACTGCGCATGTGTGGGCTAGGCTCCGAGCCAGGGCCTAGGCAGAGTTCATGCCTATGCAGGAGTAAGGGGAGGGTTCTCCAGGAGTCCCCCCAAGCCCGCGACGTACCAGTGTGTGTCAGCACAGACAACTCTGCAGTCCCTTCTGCAAGAGCCCCCCATCTGCCAGGCGGGGGTGAACGCAGCACACAGGGCCTGGGGGGCAGCTGTCCATCAGTGTGAAGGGAGTGGGCTGGGAAGTGCCTGCTGCTGGGGCAGGACGGTCTGAGAAGGCTGTCTGGGACAGGGCGTGCTCTTTTTCCAGGGGCCACGAGAACAGAATCCTAGAATCAGAAGGGAGGCCACAGGCTTCCAAGGACACATCCGCTGGCCTCCTCCGAGGAGCTGCCCCCTGGGCCACTTCCTCACCCGTGACGGCTCAGCACAATAACAAGGCTGCTGTTTACCCGGTGCTGACCGTGTGCCAGGCGGGACTCGATGCCTCACATGCAGCTCACTGCTAAGGTCACACAAGAGCCTGGCCGCAGCTATTGTGTGTTATCACCATTTGCTGTTCTAAACGAGGAGACCGAGGCTGGGAGAGACCCCTGGTGGCAGAGGTGACAGGGGCAGGGGGCAGGATTCCAATCCAGGTCTGCCTGCCGGGCCGTGGCAGGGCAACTTCACCGGGGTCTGCATTCTGCACAGCTGGGCGCCTTGTCCTGGGTTTCTTCGTCTCAACCCAGGAGCAGGACGGACAGGGGAAGGGAGAGAAGCCGCTTTGGGAGGCTCGGGCTGAGAGACTGAGTAGCCTTCTCTCCCTGTGGTAGCCTGAAGCTGTCAGGAACTATTCATGCGGGGATTAGGGAGAACTGGCTTGGCCCTGGAGGAGAAATTGCTGGACTGAAGGCTCGGGGCTCTAGCTGCCCCCGGGATGGCCAGTGCTGGAGGGGGGGTTCTTCTCCGAGGTGGAGAGGCTCCCTCTGCTGGAAAGTGTTGTCCAACCCGGGGGCCCAGGCCATGCAGTCCATTTGGCCACCCGGCCCAGATCCACCACACCCAGGCCAGGAAGGAGAGCGCCCAGCAAGGGCTCTCTGGCCCTGTGGACGCTGTGGTTGCCCTGCACCCTGTGAAACTCCAGCTGGTTGGAAGTGGAAGGGAGGGGCTCAGAGAAGTAAAAGGGTTGCGGGAGAGGCCTTGTTCTGCAGAAGGGACACAGCCTTCCGAGTCTCACAGGCCTGAGGTCCCAGCACCACTTAGCCACTTAGCAGCTGGCTGCCTTAGGGGAATCATTAACCTTCATAGTCTGTTTTCTGGATTGTAAAGCAGCAAAGCTGTGAGGGTTAGATCGGATAACGATGACACTAGTCAAGCCAGACACAATGTGAAGTGTTGTGTGTCTCACTGAATTCTCACAGCACGACCTCAAACATGTAGTTGTTACCTCCATCCTACGATGAGAGCCTTGAGGCTCAGAGAGGTTAAGGAACGTGTCCCAGGTTCCAAGCAAACTCCCAGGCTGAAGAGCGCCATGCCGGGCTGTCTGGGCCCACCGAGGGCTGGTGTCAGGGCTGGTGTCAGCCCCTTTGACCGCAGCACTGGGCAGGGAGGAAAGAACTTACCTCCACTCCCGAGGCCTGAGCAGCTGAGTTGAACTCAATTCCCCTTTCCACAGCATCTTAACTTGGTAGTTTAGTCTTTTAAATCCTAAGATTTCAAGGATCTTTCCAACAGCCGGTTTCCATCCATTTAACAGATGAGAAAAAGGAGGTCGCTGCCTTATTCAACCTCACACAGGTAGAAAATGGTGAAGGAACCCATTCCCACGTGAAGTTGCCTCCAGAGCTCTCTGGGAATAACCACACACTCTGTCACCCTAATCGGCATCCTGACCTGGGGTGGGGGGAGAAGAGGAGAGGAGAGAGCTTTCCCCTAGTCAAAGAGCAGGTTTCTTTTTTAATTTTTCAAAAGTTGATAATCACGTGAAAGTCAAAATGTTCTGTGCGGAATCCCAAATAAATCAGGAATTCATGTGGAGCACATACCCCAAGGAGATGGGGTACAACTCCCCACTCCTTCAGGGTGGACTTCATACAATGGCCTCCTTCCAGAGCAAGCAGCCCCCTAGAGGGCGAAACAGAGGAGCTTTGCTGTGAAGAAGCCTGAGGAACACTGTCCGCCAGGTGAGTGTAGAGGCAGGAAGGCGGGGGCAGGCTCTCTATGGATCCGGGCAGACAGTTCTGGGGCCCTCAGTAGCTTTTTCAGGCTTTTAACGATCTTTCTGTGCCACGTGTAGTACAGCAAGCAGGCACAGGGCAGGCAGGGGGGCTGGGGGATGGTTGGCAAGGACGCTGGCAGGCCTCCTCGCCCCCCTCCGGTGAATTGTTACTCTTTGGGCTCTCTCTGACGTTCTCTCCCGATCTCTCCACCACTCTCCTCCACCCACCGTCCTCTGTGACGCTGCCCTTATATGCTCCGCCTCCAGGCTCAGGTGTGCCCACTTACGCACGCCCACACCATGCTCCAGGTGTCCACCATCAGGCACACATGCCCCGGCCCCACACTCCCAAGCACCTCGGCATTCAAGGCCGCAGGTGATAGCCACAGAGGCCAACAGTGCAAAAGCCTGAGCATCTTCATCTACCCTACAGTGGGTGAGGTCAACCCTGAGGGACAGGTCATGTTCGTAAATGTGCCCTTGATATGATGTGGTAAGAAGACACTTTCCAGGGCCTCCCTGGTGGCACAAGGGTTAGATGCAACCTATGAAGCTATCCGTAGCCACTGCAGGATGAGTTCAATCCCCAGCCAGGGAGCTACCCACATGGCGCAGCAGACCTCCCCTGTCTCGCCCGCTGCTCCCCTCAGCAGTGTGTTTCAGTCAGTCTGCCTGTTCTGCTCCCCGCTCTGTCTCTGGTGAATCCTCTCACCTCTCCCCTCCCGTGCCTCTGGCCTGTACCCCAGTTCTTATATGCATAAATAAATAAATCTTAAAAAAATAAAAAAGAAGACACTTTCCCTTTATGGTTTTGCTCCTGAAAACCCACAACCCCAGCCCAAGCTTGAGAAAGACAGCAGATCCCAGTTGAGGAACAGGACCTAAAATACGTGACCTGTATTCCGTGACGCTGTCAGCGTAAACAAGGAAAATCTGAGAAACAGTCACAGCCAAAAGAAATCTCTGGAGACATAATGACTAAATAGAATGTGGTATCCTGGATGGAATTCTAGAAAGAAAAAGGAATTTGGGTAAAAACGAAGAAACTCTAAATAAAACATGGCCTTTGTTAATAACAGCATACTAATATTGGCTCTGCAATTGTAACAAATGCATCATATTATATTCCTGTTAATAATAGAGGAACTGGGTGTGGGGTATGTGGGAACTCTCTGCACTATCTTCACAGCTTTTGGTACAGCTAAGCTACCTGAAAAATAAAGTTCATTTTTAAATAAAGTCCAAAAATTCAAAGGGATGTTCTGTGAATCTCCCTTTCGCTGCTGACCAGCTGATCCGTCCTCTTCCCGGAGCAGTGAGCAACACAGCCTGGGTTAGAGATGAGAACTGGCTGGCTGGCTCTCAGTCTCGATCTCTGCCAGTTTCTAACTGTGTGACCCTGAGTGATTCCTTAACTTCTCCATGTGTCCCGTGTCCTCAAAGATGAAATCCTCATAGGATAGTTGGGAGTGTTAAAAATATTAATCTATATAGTAAACGCCTTATAAGAGGTTGCATTTATTATTATGAGTAAACAAGCAAATAGATTTACACAACTAATGTATTAAGAAAATACTGCCCCAAACTTGTAAATAAGTAAAACAATACCAATGTCCTTTCCAGATCCCTGGCTAATAACCCCACCTATGGGTCATTGAGAAGAAGGAACTTTGATACACGGCTGTCTGCTGAGTAAGGCCCAGATCTATAAAGGATAACCTCTGGAAGATTAATTAATAGCAAATTATCTTTGTCTGGTAGAAAACAAAAAGCTACGTTTTTATTGCCAGGTAGGAATCAACATTTTTTTCTATCGAAGTTTTGCAATCTCATCCCAACATTCATTTACCCCACTGACTCTCAATCATTTTCCAGTTCTTTCTTTGACCCATCCTGCTGGTTCACTTACTATGAGGCTAATACTTACTCTGTATTAGTCAAATTTATCTTTGTACAAATTTTATTTTGACAAATAGCAGCATCCATACATACTGCTCTACCAGGGTTATTTTCACTTAGTATGTCTTTTTTTTTTTTAATTTTTTTTTAAAGATTTATTTATTTATTTATACAAGCACTGGGTACAGTCAGAAGCGCGGGAGGGTGAGAGAATTCACCAGAGCCAGAGCGGGGAGCAGAGCAGGCAGAAGGACCGAAGTACACTGCTGAGGGGAGCAGCGGGTGGCAGGGAGGTCTGCGCGCCATGTGGGACCCTCCTCCGGTGGCTGGGGAGCAGCCGGGGATTGAACCGGCGCTGCAGAGGCTGCGGGCAGCTTCGCAACCCAGCGCTCAACCGCTGCGCCACCGGGGAGGCCCTTAGTATGTCTTGAAGATAGTTTCATATCAGAAAGAAAAGCCTTTTTACTCCTGTTTTTCCACCTTAGAGAATCCAGGGTATGGGAGAATAGTAATCACACCCATCGACAGTATAGCCAGTTCCCTAGTGATGAATATTTAGATTCTTCTGCTCTTTGACTGTTGCAAGCTACGCTGTGTGAACAACCTGGCGCACAGTTGAGAGCAGATTCACTTGGACAGAGAGGGGGGAGGGAGGGCAAAGGAACCTGCTCCCAGTGCAGGCCTAGTCCTCCGCCCCCTTGTTCTGTGCCTTCCAGGCCCCCTCCTCCTGCCTCCTCCTCTCTGTCTTGAGCTCCTGGTACTGCCAGACAGGAAGGGCCAGTCTGCGGTGCCCTGTCGACCAGGGCTCTTGCCAGCACTGCGTGGGCAATGAGGGTGTCTTGGAGAGGAGGATCTTGGGGGCTTGGGCCTGAGGGGTACAAATTTTATTTTGACAAATAGTAGCATGCCGTATATACTGGGCCGCAGGCACTGAGGGTGCTTGCTCCACGCTCCCTGAGGGCTCTGGTGGCGGCTGAGGATTCGGGGCCAGGGGCTACCTGGGGGGACTGAGGGCCTGGGGGAGGGGGTGGGGAAGTGCCCAGCAGCTCTGGCACAGACTTGCTTCGGGTGCCCAGGGCAGGCGGGCAGTCAGGACATAGGCTGTGGCAGGCCGTGGTGAGAAAGGGAGTGGCCAGGCTGGTTGGGATGGTTACAAGGTGGTTTAGGACACCCCCCTCCAGAGGAGAATGGGCAAGGGAGAGCCTCAAGGTGGCCAGTGGACACTCCAAGAGAGATGGGGCGGCCTGGGCCGGGGCCACGAGCCAGGCAGAGGCAGCCCATTGGGCTGGTAATGCCGGCTGAGTGCTTTCTTCGGGCGCCGCAACAACTGCTGGATCCTGTGCACCACGTCAGAGCTGTTAGTCAGTGCTGCCCAACCCGGGGCCGTCTCGCACGAACAGAACCCACAGCTGTCAGGTCGGCACCGGGGGAGGCAGTGGAGTGGTGCCGGGCAGGGTACAGATGGATGATTTAGAAAGAGCCCATTCTGTAACAGCAGGAATGATTTAGGTTTAATTCAAAACCAAAGTCCCATCCTGTGTCGGCCGGACCCTGGCAGCCCTCAGTGGCTATAGCTCAGGCACCTCCCAGGCAGATCCCAGCCTCCTGCTTAAGAGACAAGAAACTGAGGTCACAGAGGGGGAAAGTGCAGGGAGACCTGGTATGGTCTCCGAGCCCGGAGCACAGAACTGGTGTAGATGGCTCTGGGGGGTGTGGGGCTCAGAAACAGCCCCTTTGGGGCAGGCATGACTGGAGTCCTGCTGGCTCCCTCTCCGGATCCTGCTCTTCATCATCACACCCCCTCTAACCCTGGGGTGGGGAGGCAGCAGCCGCTCAACGGACACGCTCCCTTCCTTCTTGCTGTGATCTGATGGGGTGATGTGACCATCACGAGCGGCCTGGCCAGCCCCTGCCTCACCACTGCGTCTCTGCAGCTATGAAGCGGACAGGCCTGGTGGGAGGTTTGCGGGAAGGACTGAGGCCACGCAGCTGGCCCAGGCTTCTGGCCCATTCGCCTGCCATGAGCAGCGCAGGCGTGGAGTCTGAGCGGTTGCACAGGGCAGGCCTCCTCAGCGCTGTGAGCCCCCTCTGGTCCCGGTCTCCAGGTCCAGGCCCAGGTAGCAGTTGAGCAGGAGACTTGCCAGAGGCTTGTGGCCTGCAGGGGGACCCAGACAAAGCTTGGATCCCCAGGGAAGGGAGTGATGCAGCCCCAAACCTACCTGCACCAAACTTGGAGCCTCTGGGATGGCCTTCCGTGGGGCTGGGGGCACTGGTGGAGGGTGGGATCAGGTGCTGCCTCGCACCTGCTTGGGCAGCCAGCAGGAGAGCTGTGTGCCCTTCTTCGTCCTGCTGGCAGCGGCTGAGCAGGGTTAAGATGCTCCTGAAGCCCAGGTAGCCGGCGACCCTGAGGCCTGTCTGGGGGAGAGGCAGCTCAACCCCTGTGCTTTCTCTGGAATCTCCTCCCAGTTTCTACAGTCTCAGCTGCCCCAGAGATGTCCCGGGTTCTGTAAAGACCCACCCTCACCGTCTCCCTTCCTCCTGAGGACCCCAGCCGTGGGTATTGACCCTGAAACTCTCAGCTGCTTTGGGAAGTAGAGGCGTAGCTCACCCTCCCATTGCCGTCCACCTGGGTGGCCTCTTTTGGGGAGACCCCACCATCCAGCAGCACTTGGGGCTGGGCAGCATCATTGCCCCCAGCCTGCAGCCTGGGGCAGGGGTCTCACCCCCCAGGCAGGGCAATGTCTCAGACATGTCCACCCTCCCTCTGCAAAAGCAGCGCCTCTTCCTTGTCCGCCTGGGTGGGGAGGGGAGTGGCCCCTCCTCAGGCACTTGGCATCTGTAACAGGGAATGGGGGAGAGCAGTGTCTCTCTGGATCCCAGGGGAGGGTCCCAGCAGCTGCCAGTCACCAGCCCTTGACCCTGCCCGCTCCTGACGTGGGGGTCCCTCTCCATCCACCTGTAGAGCAGGCCCCCGGCTGGGGCAGAGCCCTAACTGGCAGAAGTGGTTCACTGCAGGTGAAGATGCCAGTGAGTCAAGGAAAGGGGCCATTTTTTTTCTTTCCCAGGGAACCTTACCTGGGGGTTGGAGGCCCCCTCAGAAGCAGTCTTTGTGCGACCCCACAGCATCCTCAGACTCCTGGGAGCACCAGCAGCAGGTCTTGGAGGCCTGAGGGAAAACGCTGTCTCCCCAGAAGCAAGGCAGGTAACAAATGCCAGACTTAAGGAAAGGGCGGCTGCAAACAGCCCAGTGGGGTTAGTGCAGGATGGGGGGCTGGGAGGGGCTGAGCTCTCCTTTCTCAAGAACCGCTGTGAGACTTGTCTCACTGGAAGTACAGAAATTACGAGACATTAAGTTTAATGGATTAGTTTTGGTGTGGTGAATTAACTATGACATATTTAAATTGCACATTTAAAGTCAAATTATTTCTATGTATTTAATTTCACGGTAAATTAAATTAGTCTCTGATTTATTATAAATTAGTAATATAAAAATATATGTCATAAAAATAATGTTATAAATAATATAAAATCAACTAGATGTTCATTCAATTATTCTGTAAAATAAGTTAATATTATTTAATTAATGGGTTGGTTTGGACCTCAGATATCACAAAATGAACCAGCCGTGTTCCTGTTTTTTTTTTTTTTTTTTTTTTAATTTTCTAGAGGCATGTCTTATTTATTTATTTATTATTTGTTTGTTTGTTTGGTTTATACATGCACTGGGTACAGTCAGAAGCGCGGGAGGGTGAGAGAATTCACCAGAGCCAGAGCGGGGAGCAGAGCAGGCAGAAGGACTGAAGGACACTGCCGAGGGGAGCAGCGGGCGGCAGGAGAGGTCTGCGCGCCATGCGGGACCCTCCTCCGGTGGCCGGGGAGCAGCCGGGGATTGAACCGGCTGCAGAGGTTGCAGGCAGCTTCGCAACCCAGGGCTCAACCGCTGCGCCACCGGGGAGGCCCACCGTGTTCCTGTTTTTATTGCTCCCACCACCTGCCTGTATAAGATCTTGCTCTTGTTTTATATTACTTTATTTGGTAATATTTGATATACTTTATATCTCTTTCATCCCTGATCCCCACAGTCCATTCTCCTGCTTTCCTTTACCAGTCGGCACTGAAATGTAATTGAAAGTGTGCATGTCATTGAAAAAGGTAGTGTTGGGCCTCCCTGGTGGCTCAAGGGGTCTAAGTCTCAGCACTATGAAGCTGTCCGCAGCCACTGCAGCACAAGTTCCAGCCCCTGCCAGGGAGCTACCCACATGGCGCAGCAGACCTCTCCTGTCTCCCTGCTGCTCCCTTCAGCAGTGTGTTTTAGTAGATACACCTGTTTTGCTCCCCACTCTGTCTCTGGTGAATCCTCTCAGCCCCCGCACCTCTGGCCTGTACCCCAGTTCTTGTTTGCATAAATAAATAAAAGAAAAATCTAAATTATCTAAAAAAAGAAAACAGTAGTGTTGATTTATGTGTTTTGACTAACACCTTATGAGTTGTGCTACTTGTATTTTTCACTCAATCTTATGTTTGAAGACCCATCCTTGTGGCTTCCTGTGCAACGCACCAGTTAGGAGCGTCTTTGTAAGAAACCAAAAGCTGACGCTGGTGATCAGGTGGATACCACAGGCTGGCTGCTCAGCATTAGTCTAACGCTCCTTTTAGTGTTTCTCATGGACTGCAGAAGCTGGAAAACTAGAACCACACTCCTCCAGATTCACGTGAGCTGGGAATCTATAATTTAGGATCTGCTCTTCTGCACACACACGTAGAACAGAGCTAAGCAGGACGGGACATCCGCTTTGCTGTCAGATCGTGACAGATGCCGTGGGGCTCTGTCAAACAGCTTCCTGATTCATCAGCTTCCTGGAGTAGTGACTCTTGTTTTCGCGGTCACAGGCAGAAGTCATGTGCCTCCCCAAGCTGGGAGTCGTTCCTGGATCTCCAGCCTGCTTCTCCATCCCTTTCGCTTAAACTAGCCAGATTTGTTTCTGTTGTCTGCAATTACACCCTAACTGACCCACATGGCTTAAACAAAGAGAGGTTTATTCTTCAAGAAAGATAAAAAGGGCAGGGATAGAAAGCAGTTGGGGTTGATTTAGCAACTTGATGGTGTCAGGATCTTCTCTGCGAGTCTTGACTTTTCTGCATGGTCACAAGTTGTCCAGGCCTCACGGTGAACATGGACTTAAGCGCAGCAGTGAGAAGAAATCTACTCGATTCTGTGTCAGACATCACTGTAGAGGACACAGTCCTTATTCATAGCCGGTTCTCGTCCTCTTCACATCAGAGGTAACCGTGTGACACAGCGAAATGCAAGCAGCTGATGGGGGTGGCTCCTGGGAAAGTCTTTGCTCTGATAAGCTGTGAGGAGCATCTTCTTGCCTTTTTCTTTCCCCTTTTTCCTGCTACATAAAATTCCTCATCTCCTCTTGCGGTGATGGACAACTAGGGTGCCAACAACTTCCAATCACTACGGGCAAGGCTACAAGACAATCCTGTACCTGTCCTGATGTGGACCTTCTAGAGAGGTCTCTGATGGCACAATCATAGACACGTGCGCTAGAAGTGACCAGGTGCTGTCAGGTTACTCTCTGTTTTGCTGTGTCGGGCATAGAAGTGTCTCCAAAAATAAATAAATAAGATGAAAAATAGAGGCCTCCCTGGTGGCGCAAGGGGCTAAGTCTCAGCACTATGAAGATATCAGCAACCACTGCAGCACGAGTTCGATCCCAGCCAGGGAGCTACCCACATGGTGCAGCAGACCTCTCCTGTCTCGCCCGCTGCTCCCCTCAGCAGTGTATTTCAGTTAATCCACCTGGTTCTGCTCTCCACAGTCTCTGGCGAATCCTCTCACTCCCCCTAACTCCTCTGTCATACACCCCAGTTCTACAGAAAAATAAATAAATAAAGGATGTCTTTTAGTATATCCTTAAACTTTTCATCTCTTATTTCTCTCTGCAGGGCATTTTGGATAATTTATTCAAAAATAACTGAATCAAATTCAGTTTGGTAATTCTCTCTTGCTAATTCTGTCTAATCTGTTGCTAATCTGTCCACATAATTATATTTAAAGTTCTGTGATTCAAACGTTGTGAAATGAACTGACATTGTTGTGGTAGGCTAAATAATTTTTTTGCAGTTCTTTGTCCCCCACAAGGATGTCCACATCTTAATCCCCAGAACCTAATATGAATACTGTACTCTGCACAGCGTAAGGAACTTTACAGATAAGTTTCAGGATTTGTAGATTAGAGATTATTGTAGATTATCTCAGTGGCCTGGATCTTACTGGTGATCTTTTTTCCTTTTGCATGTAGTGTTTTGTTTTCTTTTGTTTTTTATCTGTGAACCATTTATTTTCTCTAGAAAAGTGTTTTGGAAATGCCTTGAAACTGAGGATGAAGGTGTCTTCTTTCAGAGAATGTGAGTTTGCTTTAGCTGGGCCCAGAGTACTCCCAGTCTTGAGACTTTTAGTCCAAATTCCTGACCTAGAGCATTTTGGATTCCTCAAGATACTGTAATCTTGCAGTGCAGATCAGCTCAAGGACCAGCTAGTGGTCCAGCTCAGGGATAGAGCCTTTCCAGCAGTTTAGCACGAGACAGCTGACTGTAAAGACTCCTGGCAGTGACAATAAGTGGGTTTATTTCAGAATCAATCTTACATTAAGGGTGTACCCTTTGGGGCCTCTCCGGTGGTGCAGCGGTTGAGCGCTGGGTTGCGAAGCTGCCCGCGGCCTCTGCCGCACCGGTTCGATCCCCGGCTGCTCCCCGGCCACCAGAGGAGGGTCCCACATGGCGCGCAGACCTCTCCTGCCGCCCGCTGCTCCCCTCAGCAGTGTACTTCGGTCCTTCTGCCTGCTCTGCTCCCCGCTCTGGCTCTGGTGAATTCTCTCACCCTCCCGTGCTTCTGACTGTACCCAGTGCATGTATAAACAAAAACAAACAAACAAACAAACAAACAAATGAATAAATAAATAACATGCCTCTATTTAAAAAAAAAAAAAAAGGGTGTACCCTTTGGAGTCCTAGTTTCCTGTGAAATTCCTCACTTTGGGTAGGTCAAAAATAAACGATGTGGAAATTGAAGCTCAAGTTTGCCTAGTTCAACACATGTCCTCATACTAAAGCATATTCCTAGTTCTGTTTCCCTTTTATTTTTAAAAAACAATTTTTAAAACTGTTCAAGTCAGGGCCTCCCTGGTGGTGCAAGGGGTTAAGCACTGCACTATGAAGCAGTCCGCAGCCACTGGATCACACGTTCGATCCCCGGCCGGCCAGGGAGCAACCCACATGGCAAAGCAGACCTCTCCTGTCTCACCCGCTGCTCCCCTCAGCAGTGTATTTCAGTCAATCTGCCTGTTCTGCTCCCCACTCTGTCTCTGGTGAATCCTCTCACCCCCTACACCTCTGGCCTGTACCCAGCTCTTGTATGCATAAATAAATAAAAGTCTTTAAAATTGAAAAAAAAATACTCTTCAAGTCAGCATGCCTAGATCATTTCAGCTCCTTTACTGGCAAACGTGGAAGCAGGGACTGCTGCAGTTTCTCTGCCTTCTCTATGTCTGAGTGATGATCAAGGTATAAAGGTATCTGTTGCTTCCAACTTTAAACTTCACATTATCCTTGTTTTTCTTGACCTCTATGGATGTGACATCCTTTCCCCTGGCTGTAAGCAGAAAATCCTTGGTTTCCTCAATTTTTCGAGGCCCAGTTACAAGGCATGCAGGATTATGCTGGCTAGCCCCTCTGAGAGAGATACTCGCTTCTCTTAGATTTGACTTCATTAATTCTCACTATCTATCCAGCTCTTCCTTGCTTTTAAAATAAGTTGCATTTGTATTTGCAATGTCAGCTAGCATGTTTATCGAGAAGGATCAGTCCAGAAACCAGCCAGTCATATTATTAGAAATAGAATTTCCTGTAATCCAAATTAATTAAAAAACAACCAAATAGGAAAATGGGCAAAAGACATGGAAATTAATTCAGAGAAGAAATACAAATGGCCAATAAATACATGAAAAGATTCTTCATCTCACAAGTGAGCAGGAAAAGGCTAATTAAAACAATGAAATATTACTTTTGGCCCATCAGCTTAGCAAAAATGAAACATTAATAATATTAAGTGCTGACTGTGTTGGGGGAATGTAAATCAGGGAAGTATTTTTGGAAAGAAATTTGACAGTATCTAGCAAAATAACAAATGTACATACACATTAACCCAGAAATTCTGCCTTTAGAAGGCTTTCCCAAAACAGTACTTGCTTACGTGAACAAAGATATACTGTACATCCTTTGCAGCATTGTTGGCAATAGGAAAAAAAATAGTAACAACTTAATGTTCATCAGTAAGGAAAGAGTTGGAAAAGCATGCACATGCAGTGTATGCCTTTGCTAAAAATAGTAAAATAGATCTATATGAATTGCTCTGAAAATTGGTCATGTTCATTGAGGTAGGGGGAGTCAATTTTTTTTTTTTTTATCAGTAGTTCTCGACATTGGCTGCACAGTGTATCTCAGGGACTTTTATTTATTTTTTTTTTTAAAGATTTGTTTTATTTATTTATTTATGCAAGCACTGGGTACAGTCAGAAGCGCGGGAGGGTGAGAGAATTCACCAGAGCCAGAGCGGGGAGCAGAGCAGGCAGAAGGACCGAAGTACACTGCTGAGGGGAGCAGCGGGTGGGGTAGGAGAGGTCTGCGCGCCATGTGGGACCCTCCTCCAGTGGCCGGGGAGCAGCCAGGGATCGAACCGGTGCTGCAGAGGCCGCGGGCAGCTTCGCAACCCAGCGCTCAACCGCTGAGCCACAGGGGAGGCCCTCTCTCAGGGACTTTTAAAAAGTAGTGATTACTGGGCCTCCACGGTGGCACAGTTAAGCACTATGGTTAAGCACTGCACTATGAAGCACTATGCCGCAGCTTCTGCAGCACGAGTTCGATCCCCGCCCGGCCAGGGAACAACCCACATAGCGCAGCAGACCTCTCCTGCCTCGCCCGCTGCTCCCCTCAGCAGTGTATTTCGTCAGTCTGCCTGTTCTGCTCCCCACTCTGTCTCTGGTGAACCCTCTCACCACCACCCCCACCCCACCCCAGACACTCTGGCCTACACCCCAGTTCTTCTTTGAAAAAAATAAATAATTTTTTTTAAGGAGAATAGGAGGGAGGTGAACGGGGCCTTCATAGTTTACTTTTTTAACTTGTGTCATGTTTGAATTTTCTACTAAACGAATTACTACTTGGTAACAAAAGGAAAAAAGAAAAGAATCAGAAAGAGTTTGAAGATTTTTTCCCCTGTGGGTGCTCTCTGCACTCATTCTTTCATTCTATAACTTAATTAATTGAAACCTACTTTGTGTCGGGCACATATTTTGGTTTTTGTGCTCTTCACACTAGTTATTAATCTCACACGAGTTATTAATCTCATTCTTGGCCTTTCCGCTCAGCTAGGTCATCTCTAGCACGCTCAGTAAATGCGAATTCCCTGACAATCCCCTCTGGCTGGAGAAGCCCCCAGCATCCTTCCAGGATGACTGCAGGACGGAAGACTTTAACCTGTGCTGAGAGAGGGGTTTCACATGGTCATCTTCAAGTTCTGGTCCCCCAAGCCTGGAGCCGCCCCAGCCCCGCCAGCGCCCTGTTTCTGCAGTGCCAGCCGCAGCCAGCAGGTGGCAGCCCCGGGCAGGAATCGAGACCCGATCCCCACCCTGAGCGGAGGCGGCGCAGCTTGGGCAGGGCGGGTGCTGGGAGGGTGTGGGGTCTCGCTTCTGACCCAAAGCACAAAGGACAGGGAAGTGCTTGTTGTCGCTCAGCTCTAGCCAAGCTGGCTGGTTAACCAGAGGCTCATGAGGTTTTTAACTTCTGCCTCAGCAGTGCCCTTGCAAAGTGCCCCGTCCCGTCTTCATCCGCAGCAGCTCTCCACACGGGTCCCTCCACGCTCCCCCACCCCCAGGTGCTTGGGCTGGGTCTTTTTTTTTTTTTTAAGATTTATTTATTCATGCATACAAGAGCTGGGGTACAGGCCAGAGGTGGGGGGCAAGGGGGTGAGAGGATTCACCAGAGACAGAGTGGGGAGCAGAACAGGCAGATTGACGAAATACACTGCTGAGGGGAGCAGCGGGCGGGCCAGGACAGGTCTGCTGCACCACGTGGGTAGCTCCCTGGCCGGCCAGGGATCGAACTCGTGCTGTGGATTGCTTCATAGTGCGGGGCTTAACTCCTTGCGCCACCAGGGAGGCCCTGGGCTGGGTCTTGACCCTCCCTTGTAGACAGTCGTACATGCACATAGGCACGCACACATACGTACATACATACATACATACAACTGGCAGCAAGGGAATGGAGGTTACTGATCAATGTGTAAAGGAACAGAGGCGTCCTGGGGACACAGGCACTTTTCCGTCAGAGCCTCTGCCATCCCACGTGGCGACTTTCAGGGTTAAAGGAAATAATTGAACAGGTTCCCCTGCCTTTGCCCTCACAGCTGCTGGGGCCTCGAGGGCAAGACTTTCTTGCCCTTCCAACCTTGCTCTCTTCACTGCGTTCCCCTTCTCA